ATCAATTTATGACAAAGTAACTATGGGGTAAAAGAATTGATCACATCATTTTGTAAAGTGACCATATCCAATAGTGCTAAGAAAGCGTCGGCAGTGAGTCCAAATGAAATAATTTAGCATCTGAAAGTAACTTTATTAAAGAGACTTGATGGGGGGCCAAATTACCCCGGGGTCCAACTAACCTAGATCTCCCCTAACTTTGGTCCGGTAACAACACGTAATGGTCATGCCAATTTTGCCAGTAATTTGGTAATGGTAATTTTAACAGAATATGTACATATTAGTTTAAGCAGGTGCAACGTGACATAATGAACACTTCATTGGTTGGCACGTCATTTTGAATTGTTGTTTTGGTTCATCTGTTAATTTTGAGCTTTCAGTGCCGGAGGCGACTTGGTGTATTTGGTGAACAGTGTGCTCATTGGGGAATCGAAGAACAAGGGGGAGTCCGAAATTTTGAAGTCGGTTACTGGAGACGGAAGCACCAGCTACCAAAAACTCGGAAAATCTGTCCCGAATTACAAAAAACTGTAAGTTTGCATCGATTTCAAAACCATTGACAATTAAATTACATTTGTCACCTTAAAAAACCCGCCCCTGAACCGAATAATCATGTTGTTCTGTTCCGTTTAGTTATACATCTTTAAATGGCTTCTTCGCGTACATGTATGACGTCATTCAGCATGCGAGAGACGCATTCAGCGGCCTCTAAATTTCTTTTCAGCGATACTGCATTTAATGGCTTCATCGTGTATGACGTCACTCAGCATGTTAGAGATACGCACTTCAGTGGATACGTCTCTGACGACTTTAGGCAAGGCGGAGCTTTAGGCTGGTTTAAGAACACCTTGGCGTTCTCTATGACTGTCAACAGTGTCGCAAACCTCACATTCGATTTTGAGGATGACACGGTTAGTTCCTTTTATCGTCATTTCTATTTGGATTCGTGATCGTTTAACGTCACCTTAGTAACTTTTTTATTATTAACTTTACACAAAAAGTAAAAGAAAAGTACTATGCTGGTCATTTCGAACGTAAGGGCGCTTTCAGAACAGATGATCCGTGGACTAATTGATCCGCCAACTAAATATGACCGTCCAAACTTAAACACAAGCAGCCTAATCCACTGATGGTCTCCCCGCCTCCACCTTCGTGCAAGGGTCGAGCAATTAAACCGGGGATCCGAAATTTCATCCGTTTATGGGCACGTGTGGAGGGTGGGAAGACCCTCAGAGGATTAGGTGGCGTGCTTTTAAGTGGGGTCAGCCATCCGCGGATCAGCTGTTCTGGAAGCGCCCTAAGTATCAGTTCAAATAGAAGTTGAGGTGATTTGGGTCATATTTCAGAATGGTAACCGCGTATTCGATGGCGACGGCTCAGGCGACTTTGGCACAGAATTCGGCGATCGAAATGGCGACAAGAGTGCCATTATACACGACTATGATGGCAGCCTTACAGGCCACGCAGGCGCCCACGTGGTGAAGCCAAGGTGGTTCTATAACACTCATAACTGCTACAACGTTAGCAATTGGAACATGGCCGTGTGTCCTGAACGGTATGCCAAGGTAAGAAATCGTTCTTTGTTTTAATGACTTCGTGCGCAAAACACAACTGCTTAGTGCTTCGGAATTTAGCAAGTTTATCGCCTGAGAATGAATCCAGTTGTCTGAGCTTCTGTCTTAACAATCTTTGGGGTTATAATCCTGCAATATCTACCGAAGTTATGAAGAACGTTTGTTGAAAAGAGATAGATTTACGAAACGTGCACTTTACGAACCGATTCAGTCGGAAGTCTTTGCTCACCATCTTTCTCTGCTTTAAGGCAGCCTTTTTACCGCGAAAAAAGAACATGTAGTTTGATATGATTGTATTTTTTGCGATTCCAAAATAAACCCAATGGCTTAAAAAAGTTCAATTTAACAACTAACGACACCAATACAGGTTTTGTGATCAAGATCATTTGATGGAAAGGTTGAAACGTCATTCCTCGTCGGCAAAATCATGTCTTATCTCGTTTGTTTGGAAATTATTTTTTTTTACTTTCTTTGCATAAAATAAGGTGATCAATCTAGACAAATATTGTTTCCATTTTGATTCGACACTTATTTAGTTTTAATCCAAAATTTAAATGTGATGGCTTCACTTCGCTTATCCGAATCATTCGGTGTACGTCGGTTGAATTCGATATTTGCTTAGATGAGATACGGGTGTTTTTCAAATTATGAGTTAATAGTGTTTTTTAAATGAAAAAAAAGTATTGAGAAAACAGCTAGTAAAAAAGTGTTTATGGAACCTTTTTTAAAATTTAGGTCCGTTTGAATTCAAAACTCGACGGGGATGCTTTGTTACAAGATCTTTTCGTGGTCAGGGACGATTTCCACGAACACCAAGAAGAGATCATCGGTGAAAAGTTAAATACGAACCATTTCTTAATGATAAACAACTACAACTACACCGTCCATTTTGATGGGAAAGTCGGAGACGAGGTCGAAATGACATTGGACGGTTTTGAAAAGTAAGTTTGATGCTGGCATTGAAGATGTTTTTATTCAAATGGACGCTTGGAATATCTGACTCACCGATAATATCGCAATACATATAGCTATGGGGTTTCAAAAATATTTACAGTATATTGGAATGGCGTGTATGCGCAGCGTGTGCGCTTAATGTACGTGTGTAGTTTAACCACTTCCGCCACCGAAACAGGTTATGTTTTCATAGGGGTTGGTTCCTCTGGATGTTCATTCACACGATATCTCGCACGGGTCTTTACAAATTCTGCTGAAAATTTCCCGATAAACACATATACGGGAAGGGTAGAAGAT